AAGGGTAAAGATGGTGTGAGGAACCACATTGAGTGAACATGAAGAAAGCAAGGGAAGGGAGTCTTTAATAAGTTTATTGAGCTAAATCCCTGGCTCTTCAATAAGTTTTTAAAAATTGACATTTGGTTAAAATAAATAAAACCTTAAGTAGATGGAATGATTGCTTCCATTCATCTAATACTCAGGGTGAGATTGGTTGAAATGCTGGAGTTTTTACTTAGCTTCTTCTTGGGGATGGGCATGGGTCCCAATTAGAAACTCAGAGTAACTAATCTGTTTTTTTGAAAACTCAATTTCCATGTGAAGATCCGAGATACTTCTGTGGCTTTGGGAACTATTTATTTATTTATTTGTACCTGGGATCGAACTCAGGACTTTGTGCTTGCAAGGCAGGTGGGGGCACCACTGAGCTAAATCCCAGGCCCATCTTTGGAAACTTTTTGAATGACTCTTCACCTCCATAAACATTGAAGACAGAAAAGTAAATATTCTAGGATCCTATGGAGAGTATACTTATTATATGGTCTATCTCTTTTACATATATACACACAAACTAAAGCAATACTTTTGTTTTTACGTCCAAGAACATGCCTGTACAGAATTCTAGGAACTTACTTAGCTTCCATGGATATTGGTCAGTGTTGAAGGTGAAAAGGAAACTCTTTGAATCACAAAAGAATTTGGAGGTTCAAAGATCTTTGGAGATCATCTTAGATTATGTCTAAGCCAGTGACTGTTTTATGTTTTCATTTTTAACTTCTTAAAACCCCCTAGGGCAAAGCATTCCTAAGAGAATATTATGTCCAAAGTCAATGAGGGGTGAAACACCAAAGTTTATTTGGGAACCTTAAGTGATTTAATCATATCAATGCACCAATTATGAAAAGATTATGCAGAGATAAGGTGGGAGGCCCATTCTCTAGAAAAGATGGACAACACACAAAAAGAATGAGTATAAATACATACACGTATACTCACACACATACATACTACATATACAAAGCTGTGGCAATCTTTTTTTCAAATCAAGTTTTATGTAGAACCCTAATATATAAAATACAACACAATAGAGGAGCCATTTAACACAATCCACTCACCATAGTGGCTCCTTAGTCACCCACCCCCACAAAATACTAGGACTCTGAAACACAGTTTGCAAACCTTTCCAAGGGTTAGCAAACTTGCTTTCTGTAAAGGACCCAATAGGAAATAGTTTAGGATTTTGTCAGCCATGCAGTTTCTATTGCAAGTGCAACTACTCAACTATGCTATTGTAACTGGAAGGCAGCTGCCAACAACATGTAAGTCAACAGGTGTGGCTACATTGGACCTGCTGCTGACCATTTTGATTTGCTGCCTCTTGACATCCCCCTACTCCCATTCTTTTTTTTTAACAAATGAAGACTCTTAAGGCTGAGAACAGAAAAGCAAGTTACCATTAACAGTAGAGCTAGGCCTAGAACCCCAGTCTCCTGATTGCCATCTTGTTCATTTACCTTGCATTGTGTTGTCAAATAAAAATTTTTGATATGTGTGTGAGAGAGAGAGGGAGAGAGAGAGAGAGTGAGAGAGAGAGAGAGAGAGCGACAGAGAGAGAGAGCCCTGAGTACTTTTTGTACCAGACACTCTGCTAAGCACTTCATCTGTTATCTCATTTGATCCTTATAGAGGTACATCGCATTATCATTATCTCCATGTTACTGATGAATGACTAAATGCAAGCTCAGGGGAGAAATTTTAAAAGTTAGCTCCAATAGTTTTAAGTAACCTGCCTCAAGTTGGGTAGTTAGTGAGTGAGAAAGCCAGGATTTGGACTTTAGTGATCAGAAACCTGAACTATTGACTAACCATTTTACTATTCAGCCTTTCTCTTTTTGTTGGGGGGGGTACTAGGGATGGTACTTGTGACATTTTGCTTACAAGGCAGGCAGTGGAACCACTGAGCTAAATCCTGGCCCAGCCTTTCTCTTTACATAAGAAGGAAGTGCTAACATTTCTGATGGCATTGGGAGGAAAAGTTGGGCTGTGTCAATTACTGATCTAATATTTGAAAAGCTTAGCACCAGAGATAAATTTATAAAAGTAGGAGAGAAGAAAAGGGATTCATCGTGATGAAGGTAAAAGTGAAGAATAAAATGCAGGATAATAACAGAATTAAACCATATGGATATTGTTCCTTTCTGTGTGTATATGAGATCTAGAAAACAGAGTCTGTAACTTAGAAGATGGCTGACTTTGTTGGTTGCACCTATAATGTCTTATATTGGTGGCATCCAAGAGTTGTCCTTTCCTGTACTAACTTTGGGTCTAGGGATGAAGCATTTACGAGGTAATTGTAGTGTTTATAGATGAGCTATACACCTTTTGCTTCTAAAGGAGGTAGAGTAAGTATTCTGGCTATGGTGGTCATAGTACCTTGGGGAAAATCAGCCCAGTGGCAAACTAATGGAATTTTTCTTAGCCTGCTTTGTGGAATTTAACTAACTTGCATGCCTATCTTCAGCCAATTCTGAGAACTTCCTGGGTCTTTTCCCCTTCCAAGAAGTTAGCCTAGTGACATCTCTTGCTAGGAGTACTTTTGCTAAAATGTTTAGGTTTCCTTTTTCAAAGACAGCATGGAATGGAGAAATACACCTGGCCCTGGACTGCTTATTTTAAGTTTTCTGAGCTTATATCACAATACTTTACCATCAAGGCAAGAACTACATGCTATCTGCATGCTATCATGCCTTTAAGTATAACTGCTGTAAGCCTTCGTAATTATAGTTAACATTCTCTGCATTAACATTGCACAGCTCCCTTAGGCTTTTCAGAGTGATTCATGAATAAATGCATTCAACTTTAAATAGCTCATGAGGATTATAGAACCCCAAAGGTGAAGGATAGAGAATGCTTTCTACTCCCCAATTGTTTAAAGCTTAGCAAAAGAGAAAGGCAGAGGCATCTATGAACTTTAAGTTTTGGTTGCCCTAGTTAGTATTGTTAACCAATAGTCATGTACCCCAGGAAAGAAAGATTTAAGCTCATTGAGAGAAAGTGTATGATGATTTTTTTGTTTGCTTCATTTCCTTGGAAAAAAATCTAATGAATAAAAACAGGTAGGCTTAGAATTTATCTCAACTAGTTTGTAAGGCTAGATTGAACTAGTCCTGCAATGAAATGAAATATCAAGCATAGAAAAACATTTTTAAAGTTTTTATTTTATGGTCACCTAGCTAAAACATACCACAGGCCTGGTAGGAAAATTTAAGATAGGTTTCCTTCCACCTGGACAAAGTTAAAGTTTAGCAAGATTTTTTGGGAACAGAGGCAGTTCTGAGACAAGGAACATTTCCCTACCTGTACATGCCAGTGCCATCTCACTGGAAGTTCTAGACAACAGTGATTTGGACTCACAGTCATGAATGAGTTACCTGTTTTCTGCAATGGGAGAGTCACATTGATCCTGTTGGCTTGGCCCCAGCTAAATGAGTGTGGCCAGTGGTGCTACTGTGGGTAACTTCTTACAGTGCCGTTGTCTGTCTAGGTAGCTCAAAGGCTCTGGGATTTGTTGAAAAGTCAGAGTTGAATTCCAGAATTTCTCCTAAAGCAGCTTATTGGTAATAGTTTCAATTTTAATCTACCAGTGGCGGTATCTCTAACTTTAGCTTCTGTGAGAATGATAATGACAGATGTGCCCCACTTGGAAGAATTTCTGCTTTAGAAACGATTTACAGGTTGATTTCTTAGCACTGAGGGTGACCCAATTGTAAGAAGCAGAATCTGTTCTTTTGCTAACAAAGTGGGAAGGCTGGCCTTTCCCTATCTTCTTGGGTGTTGAAAATATGGGTAACTTCTTTAGAGGGCTCTGAGAGCCTCCTCATTCCTTCATTCCCATGGAACCAAGATTTGGCTTGTAAATTACATGGGTACAAAGAACTTGCATTCTTATTCCTAACCTGCTTCCACTTTTGCTTTGGGATATGGCTTATAGGCTTGCAAAGAGGAAAAATCACTTAGTCATATAATTATGTTTTTTAAATTCCATCAAGTTTATTGGTACTTTAGGTTTACATCATGATCACTTTCATCATTGGAAATTTGTGTCTGTACATGATATATCTTGGTTCTTGCAGTAAATAAGGACCAAAATGTATAATAGATAATGTAAAATAGATATAATTCTTTAATTTGAGACTTTAGGGATTTCTGAAGGTCCCAGAATAAAGCTGGGAGACTATAGTCTAAAATTACAAACATGGCGTTGTGAAACTGCACATAGCCTGTGACCTTTTAATAGAAAAAACAAGTGGGGCAGTGATCTGAACCACTGCATGGCAGCTTTTCTTTTGAAAAGCAGGACAAACTTTCCAGGTGATTAATGATGGATTATATCGAGTAATTACTGGGGACAGACTTGAAAAAGACAATTCTGGCCTCCTTGTACCTTCATCAATTGCCTACTCTTTTTTTCCCAACTGGAAAAGAGACAGCTGTATAAGAAGGGATAGACTTCCTTTTCATACAAAATTAAACCTTTCTCCCTGGAAAGCCCTTTTCCCCTCCCCATAACACTTTTGTACTGTTACAACGCAAATAAGATATACTTTCCCAAAAAATATTCAAGTTTACAGTGAAGAAGAACAGAGGGGGCCGGGGATTTAGCTCAGTGGTTCTGCTGCCTGCTGCGCAAGCGCAAAGGCCTGAGTTCGATCCCCGGTAAAAAAAAAAAAAAAAAGAACAGAGGTGAGGACATCCATAAGGGGGAATGTGAGAAGCTTGCCTTCTAAAACACACCATTCTGAAGTGGGTAGACTTAGAGAAGACAAAAAGGTAGGGCAGGACAAAGAGATTAAAGAGGGGCTCTTAATTCCTTTCTCTCTTCACATTCTATGCATGAGAAATACAAGGCAACATAAGACAGGTTGAGTTCTAAACAGAAGGCTGGAGTTGAGGTCTCTGTAAATGACCCTGTTGCTTTCTTTCTCTCCATCTGCAAATCTCCCAACCTGGGTTTCTAGTTGAAAAAGAAGCAGGTATACGTAGATAAGGTGGAGAAGATGCAGCAGGCCCTTGTACAGCTCCAGGCAGCATGTGAGAAACGGGAGCAGCTAGAGCACCGACTCCGAACAAGACTGGAGAGGGAACTGGAGTCTCTCAGAATCCAGCAGGTATGGAGAAATAAAAAGGAGTACAGGGAGGATGATTCCTGATTACTCATTTTTCAGTTGGTGTTTGACATGAACACAAAACAAATGTATGTTCATCTTTATACTTTTTGCCCTACCTCATCTTATGCCAGGCTGTTTTCTCCATTGTAAATACAAAGATTGCTTCCTTGGCTTCCTGTCCCACCAAAACCCTTAATGGTTATGGTCTTCACCTTTTATTTTCATAAGATCCAAAACTGTATATCATATAAGAAATAAAGCGCTACACAAATACACTCTTAGGTGTTTGAAAATTGTGCCTGTTTGTTTGTAGTGCTGGAGATCAAACTCAGGGCTTCTTTCATGTTAGGCAAGCACTCTACCACTGAGCTATATCCTCAGAAACATTTTCAATTGGAAATGGTCATTAGAAATCATGTGACCATACCTGTTCTTGGGTTCAGAGAAATATCAAGACTCAGAAAAGGTTACGTGATTCATGATCACACAAGTTAGGGACAAGTTAGGAACTAAATCTTAGATTTTAAAAATTACTATTTCATAGGGACAGCAGATTTTACTCCATTGATCCACTTTCTGAGCAGCATGACAATTTGATGTGGCAAGCTCTTTCTGACAAAAGGAATCTCATAAACAAGCCCAAGTCCTGTGGCTTTAGGAAGAGACCTGCATTTCCTCGTTTCTTTCTGAATCAGAAGTCAAACCAGGGGTTGGACTGTAGCTCCATGGTAGAGCACTTCCCTATAGCATGCATGAGGCTCTGGGTTTGATCCTTAGTACTGCCAAAAAAAGAAAGGTCCAGCCTGATATAATTAGGGCAATACTCCCTTATTCCCTTCTTAAAAGTAGGGGCTCTTTAAATGGGGCTGAGACACCGATGGTGATTCTATCATTAAACTCAGAGGTCTTTGTATCTCCCCCAACAGCGCCAGGGCATCTCTCAACCCACCAACATTTCTGAATATAATGCCGCTGCACTGATGGAGCTCCTTCGAGAAAAGGAAGAGAGGATTCTGGCCCTGGAAGCTGATATGACGAAGTGGGAGCAGAAGTATTTGGAAGAGAATGTGATGAGACATTTTGCTCTGGATGCTGCTGCAACTGTGGCTGCTCAGAGGTAAGTAGTTGGCTGGGAAAGAGGGAGTGGGAAGTACAGATAATGTGACTGATTCATAGATTTTCCAGTGTTTCATCTTCTTTAATGTGTTTTCTGCAGTTTTTGCATAAACATGGCTTATTTTTTTATCAGTACATGTTTGCAGTACATGCAGTTTATAATCATCTTGGGGAGTGGGTACATGTGCATAATACAACTTGTTTCTTTTTTTAATCCCCTTTTCTTCCTCTCCCCCCTCCTTTAACTCCCCCTTCCCCAATTTCATTCTTGTTGATATTATTAATCTTAGCACATGTTTATGGCATATACTGTTTACATTCATCAAGGTTATTAGGTTCCTGTACATGGAATATCTTTATTCTCCTTATTTCGCTTTCCACTTGCCCTTACTCCTCGCCCTTGGTCTCTTGGGCCCCTTCCCATTTGCAAGAGATCCATCCCCTTGTCTCCTGTCCATCCTTTATTGTTCATCTGGTTATGCAGGAACTGAATAGCTGTGGGAACAGATGGTCAAGGATTTGAAAATCCAAATTGCTTTATGGACTTACAGGATTCCTGGTTGAGCCTGCTTTGGTAGCCACAATAATTGCAAATGGGCTGAATATTTGTATACCTCTTTCCCCAGAGCAGCAGATTATTTCAGCACCATATGCATGTTGTTTACCCCCAAGACTAGAGTGAAAGCCCCTCCAGAGAAATGCCACTCAGAGACTAAATGTCACTCAGAAGTGTCTGCTGCCATTTGATAGCTCTGGCTCATGTCAAAGGGTGTGCTGAACATGAGTCCATCCCTGCCCTTTGAGAAGGGCTATATTTGAAGGCCACATTCTCTGTGTGCCTGAGGTCATCATATGTAAGCAGCCCCATTCCATCTGGTACAAGAAAGTGGTAGGAAGATTTTTTACTTTTTGTTTCTTATTTGTCCCTCTTTACATACTATAAAAGTTAATTATTGGCCTTTGGAAGAAACAGTTGCTTTTCTTTGTCTCACTGCCATTCGTAACCATCAGCTGGAAAGAAATAACCAAAAATAATCAGGTGATGACTTGGGTTGTGGTGATAACAGACAGAGCATTACTCTGGAGCTGGTTGTCAAAGGTGGGCTATTGGTATATTGCACCCAGAATAGGTTTCTTTCTATCCAGAAAGTTATTAAAAATATGTGTTATTTTTAACATTATCCCAATCATGGTAAGCTGATAGAGCCTACAAGTGCTTGCTAAACTTTGGCTGGGATATGTGTGTGGAGGAGGCAGTGGATACATTTACTTTTGAATCCTAATGCTATATCAGATCCAGAGTTTGATGCTTAAGAGCTAGACTGGCACCAGCCATTGTGGTGGACTCCTGTAATCTCAGCTACTGAGCAGGGTGAGACAGGAGGGTCACAAGTTTGAGCCCAACCTGGGGATTTTGGTAACTTAATGAGACCTTGTCTCAAAAAAAAAAAAGGCTATGGATATAGTCTAAGTATCAGAGTGCTCTTGGATCCAATTCCTTTGTCTTGGAAAAAAAACAAGAGCTGGACTGGACCTTTATAAACCCATTCTTGATTCTCCAGGAAGACATCTGACATTGCTTTAATATGATCAGCCTGTTTCCAGATAGATCAGTATCTTTACTAGATTGAAGCTGCCTATGGCTTGATTTTAAGATCTTTGTAGGGTGAAGCTTGGTGGCTCTGTTTCCTGAGAAGTTTGTTCAGTACATGCCAGTGTGGAACTAGAGAACACAGAAACCCCAGATGTACCAGAATATGGTCACAAAGATTATAGGCAGATTCCAAGCAGAATGAAGTGTTATTTTACCTGCCACCTGTTACCAAGGAAGCACCTGTGCCCAGCACTTGTTCAGAGGTTATTCCTGAAACCCTAATGTGGAAACATTGTTATTATTGAGAGGTTAGGAAATGTAGGGTAAGAAGCTTAGAAAGATACAGCCCAGGCAGGAGCATAGAAAGGTACAGCTCCCATGGGTGTGCAGTGTGAGCAAATGAGAAAGCAGAGGTTGGTGGTGCTGACTTCTTTTTTTAAAGAGTTTCCTCCTTTGGTATTAATTTATGTCTATAATGCACAATACATTTATGGGGGTGAATTGGTACATATATATACCACATCTTGATCCTTTCTATTTCCCCTTAGTCTCTCCCTTCTCCCTCTCCTATCTCCAAATCCTCTTCCTATCTCCAAAAAGTCTACCCTTTTTCTACTATCTTTTATTTTGTTCAATAAATTATTAATATTTTGGGTTTCTCATATACAACATGGGATATTTAATCTGTGTCTGATTTATTTCACTTAGCATTATGGTAGACTCCAGGTAAAAATGCAAGAAAGCTAGGGAGGGGCTTGTCACTCAGTAGGGTCTTACGTAAAGAAACTATTCCTTCCTTCTTCTCTCCCTTTCTGTCTTCCCTCCTTCCCTCCCTTCCTTTATTTCTATAAAGCATTGAGAATTAGGGGAAACCTCTTTCAAATGGATGTCCAGAAGTTGTTTGCTCCCACAAGGTAAATTTAATTTACATTGAATTCCTTTAAATCAACAGATAGAATTTTTTCATTTAATCACTATTTTCAGCAAAATATGCATGATTATCATTTGATATGCTAAAACATAGCCAGGGCTAATCTAGTAGGAGCCCCTTCTAATAGTTCCACAGGCAAATGTTCCAGATATGGACTGTACACCGTTTTTGTATACTATTAATCCGGCCCACAAAAAAGACTGAAAGATAGGATTCTAATTCCTGTAAAATGGGAGAACTGGACTAGCTGGTTCTTCAGCTCCTTCCATTTCTAGGATTATACTATGTTTCTAAGGATAGTACCTCTTTTGCTTTGCCATAGAGTTTGGTTTACTTTCCTCTTTTTTTCTTTACAGATTCATTTCAAAGTTCATTTCAAAATCTATCAGCTCTTCTTCTTTTCTTTCCAACTTCTATTCCCATTCCTTTTCCCTTTGTTACCTTCTTCCTCCTCCCAGCTGTCAATGGAGGTGTTGACCCAGGTTCTGTCTTTTGTCCTTTTCTGGGGGAAAAATATTTATATTTTCTTTTCTTTCAAAATAATTTTAAGTGCCTAGGCCATTGGCTAAAAATAGAAAGTGCTAAAAATTTATTTGAGTAAGGAAGAAAATAAATAAAAAAGAAACGAAGGAGAAAGAAGAAGTGAAAAAGGGAGATTTTCAAGTATATAACTTATACGCCTAGATTTGGTGGCACATTTTAATGGCCTGCTTGATTTCTATGTATTCTGCTGGAATCTGAAAATTAATATATTCCAAACCTAACATCTCACAGGTAAATGACAGATTTCACCATTAGGACATCATTGTTGGGTGATATCAGTGTTAGTTGTAGAGAACAATTTTTTTTCAATTAAAGTACAGTATTAATTACACTTTAAAAAAGACTCCTCTTTTAAATGTACAGTTAGATAAATGTTGATAACCGAATATAATGTTGTAGCTCCCAGTAGAGGCAAGATAGAGGAGGGCCGAGGATTTAGCTCAGTGGTGCTGTCGCCTGCCTCGCAAGCACAAGGTCCCGAGTTTGATCCCTGGTGCCAACAACAACAACAAAAAAGATAGAGAAGGACACATACTAAAGTGTCCTTGTGCTTCTTGAACTTGATCCTTTCCTCTGTAGGCAGGGACTGATCTTCTTTTGGTCATGAAATTGTGTTTTTCCTAGAATGTCTTATAAAATAGGACTCATATTGTGCTTACCCTTTTTATTTGACTTCTTGTACTCAGCATGATTTTGAGCTCTGCCCAAGCTGATGCATGTATTAATAGTTTATCCATTTTTATTACTTAGTAGTATACCTACTCACCTGATGATAGATATTTGAATTGTTTCCAGTTTAGGGTCATCGTTAATAATAAAACAGATTTTAGCATAAGAAAAAACAAGTTTTTTTCTTGAGTGGGAAGGTATATAAGGTGGTCCGTTTATACCCTTTTAAGCACTTGGATTCTTTGGAGCACCTCTTGTCAGTGGGCAAGTGGTTGATCCAATGATTTCAGGCAGGATCAGAGTGTGACAGACTGGATTTGGCCTTAAAGTGTCCAAGAATGGGCATTTCATTCAAATGGAAGGTGTTGACATTCCCCTTCATCCTGAGGTGCACATAGGTATCAGATACACCAACTCTATGATATTGGTCAGTTATGTGCTTAGAACTTGATGAAAAGTTAAGGGGGGTATAATGAGGGAGAAAAAGAAGAAGAAATCAATGAATTTGTAAACCAGGGAATTTTTGCTTATTTCAGATGGATATTTGGTACTTAAAATATTTGTTTTGTTTAAAGGGATAATAGGAAGTTTACAAAAAACATGTAGTGTTTACTATTCAAGTGCTCTTAGCATTTTACACTTATTATTTATCCTCATAATAATTTGAGCTAAGTATTACAAAGGCGAAAACAGAGGCACAGAGGAGTTAAGTAATTTACCCATGATAGTACCTGAATACTAAAAGACAAAAGAACCAGGATTTAGTCTACATTTTTGTCAATTTCATATACTCTACTACCTCTAAAATATGCTGTGGCTCAAGGATGGGAAAAAAGGGAAAATTAACTGCTCAATAAGATGCTATTTGGGGCTCATTATTTAGTCACTTGGGAATATTATAAATAATCAAAATAACATTGCCTACATTATAGCTCCATGTTTGTGTCCCTAGAGAGTCTTATCTAGGTGCTTAATATACATGAAGGGAAATCACTACCAAGTAAGAGTCTCTGTTCAATCACAAGAGACCCAATTAGGCAAAGCAGATTTTGAATTTTAGTTCGCAAACAGTTAATTTAACTTGGAAGAGCAGCAAAAGGATAAAAGGATAACACACCCAGGCAACCATGTAATTTATAATTTTGCATTTGTTGAATCAATTCAGTTTGTTACCTTTCTCTCAATCTGCAGTATTTCGTTTTTATTTTGGCTGAAGTAAATCTGGGATAGGAGGAAATAAAGAAAAGGAGAGAGGGTAGTAGGAGTTCTTCATATGCATCACATATGGCTATATGTTTCTTCTTTGTCGACATCTCTCAGTTTCCATCCTCTGCTTTCTTCTCATTCTACATTTTTAGTTATCTTATTCTCCGCTGGGGCTTCTCTGTAATAACAATGACAGTAACTCTGTACTAGTAACTGTAACATCTCTAAGATTAAAGTTAGAAACTCCAACAACTTGTTAGATATTGTCAAATGACTATTCTGAAGACACTATCACCTCATTGTACCTAAAACCAAAACTCATCACAGCACTTTCCAAACATTGTCTCCATGGTTTCCCATTGACAGCAAATGGTATGCCATCTTTCCTAGCCACTTCAATTTGATATAACAAAGTTCTCACTCATTCCTTCCTTTCCCTACCCCTTGCATTGAAATAGTCTCCAAGTTTTATCAGTTTTGCCTCTTACCACCTGTTTCCACTTCCCTTGCCACTTCACTGGTTCATGTTTTCAATATCTCTTTCTGGAATCATTACATTCCCCTCTCCTACTGATCTACCTGATTCCAGTGTCTCTTTCTTTTGAATACTACATCCCATTGCAGCAAGAGATAATGCTAAAATACCAAAGCTCAGTGCAAATCATTCCACTCCCCTTGAAAAGTTCTAATAATTTTCTATGTGTATTGGAATATAAGTCCATACTCTTTCCTACAGTGCTTAATTATTTACTTTTTGTCTTCCCATGCAAGTCTCCTTCAGTTGTGGTCTAGTCTTTTCATGTCTCACCCCTCTTCCCCTCCCAGTAATTTCAAACACATTGCTTCCCTTGTAGAAGAGTTCATGCACCAAGTAAACAAAAGGATGCTGCCCATAGAAAAGATGAAATTGAATTTTAAATGGCCAATAGGGATTTTAATTAACAGGTCTTGGTGACTTTTTAAAGAGGAATTTGACTAATATGATTGGAATAACTTAATCCAAGAAAGGAAGGAGAGAGAAGATGACTGACGGATATTAAAGAAACTGTTTCCTTAAGAATTTGAGATGAGGAAATGTCAAATGCAGGGATATGCAGTTCAGGGTTTGCAGGCTGTTTTCAGACTGTATCCAGTATCTCTCTCCTGATGCTCTTACGCATAGTCTGAGAATATTAGAAATTGTTCCATCAAATACTGTGCTTGCTTGCTTGCTTCTAAGCCATTGGCTTAGTAACTCTAGTCTTCTAGAAGGAAGATTAATGCTGAGGGCTGTCCTGGCAGCCCTGTAGGAATTCATTAAGTGCCCTACATTTACAGGGTCCATTCCTGAGGAGTTCACAGTGTCCATATCAATTAGCTGGCAGGGCTCTGTGTACCCCAAATGGGCTTTTATGCAGTGAAAGTGGCAGTAGGCCAGCACCAGTTCCCCCAGTGATAAACTGTATGTTCCAGTCCCCGTGGTGTCCATAGACACCATGCACTTTTCAAGCGGACTGGCTCTAAAGCCTCAGCCATTAGTTCGCATTGGCGCTCTGCAGTATAGGAATCACCTCCAGGATTATACCAAGGGCTGCCATTCTGTCAAGTTGTACTCTCTTGAATAATGTTCTCCTACCTATGTGCCTCTCCCTTAATAATAAATAGCTTTGTTGAGTGTTTGTACTGTGTCCTATGCTGTATGTTTCTCTGTGCATACATTTGGGGTTTTTTTCCCCAATGAAATGAAGATACAATTATGGTTCCCATTTTGCATATGAGCAGATGGAGGCTTAGAGGAAGATACTGACTTTTTGAGGTCATAAAGTTCGTTAGTGGTAGAGCACTTGTAAACTGGGACTTGACCTGGTGTTGTCTCTAGCCAGAGGCTTCTGGCAAGCACCAGGAAGTATGGTTTCCTCTTGGAGTATGCAGCAAGACTACAAACAAGTGAATTGCACTAGAGTAGGTGTAGAATTCTGATGTTAAAAATATGTTGACAAATATTGACAAAATTTAGTAAATGACAAGATCAATTGTATCCCTCCCTTTTCTTGCTCTCATTATTTCTCCATGCCAATAAATGGTTAACCATGCATATAAAGTACTAGCATTTGGGAGAGCAGTGGTTTTGCAGAGGCTCAGCAATATTTCCCCATCCTTAATATCAGCTTTCTACCCATTTGTTTCCTCATCACTTCACCACTATCAGCATTGGTCACAATCTTGAAGCTAAGAGAACATAGCTATCTGCTAGCATAAAATGCACCTGAAGTTCAAATTTCCTGGATGACCTATGTAATTTCATCAATATTCTCATTAATCCTAATACTTATCTCTCTCCCTTCTCCATCTCTGTCTGTCCCTTTGTGTCTCCATCTTTGTCTCTGTCTTTCTGTTAGGCACACACACCTTTTTCCTTATTAATTGTACCTTTGCGCTAATAGCCTGAGATACTTTTAGATGGGACACGATGGTCTCTTATACAGCTGGGACTCTGCCAAGAGAGCAGCCACTTTACAATAGTTAGGGTAGACTCATTGATTTGGTGCTAGAATGTTTCTGATGTAAATTATATAAGGAATTGAGTGGCATTGAGTCAAAACCCCCTTTTTCAGCTCATATGGCCAACCTGATCTTACCTGTTGAAATATCTGTTGTTTGTGTCTTGTACTCAGGTGTAGTTACTCATATCAATCTGTCACAATAAACTACTTAGGACACCCTCTGATTTCTTTCAGAATTCTATCCTTTCCCCTTCATGACTGTCTTAAGGATAAAGTAAATATGTACATAGTCCTCTTACTTGGTCATGATCTAAAAACTCGAAAGGGACTATCTGCCGGAAAGTTTGAGGAGGATGTCTGTCCAGTTCTGCACATTCAATAGAATCCTTTTATAGTCATGTTCATGTCAATAACCTCTTTTACCCTGAAGGCTGAACCTTCCTATTTTGGCAGCTCTTACCAGTAAGTCATCCAGAAACCAACAAGATGGATTTCAGCTTACAGCTTTCCAGAAAAGCCTCCTTTGATTTAGGAGAGAGGATAGAATTCATTGATTTTGTTGCCTGCCCATCATTATCACTGCTGTCGTCCTCCCCAGGGATACAACAGTCATCAGCCACTCTCTGAACACAAGCTATGACACAGCTCTAGAAGCTCGCATCCAGAAAGAGGAGGAAGAAATCTTTGTGGCCAACAAGCGTTGTCTGGACATGGAGGGCAGGTAAAATGTGGATCTGGGTGCTGATGGATCTGAGAAGTTGGTATAGAGACAGATAGGTCAGTAGGGAAGGATCGGCATCTTTATGCCAAACTGGGGAGCCAGATCATGCAGCCGTCCCCCACCACCTTCACTCCTGCCATCCCATTACTTAGTGTTTGAGATACGTTGACCTTTATCTTGCTCATTCCTACTGTGAAATTCCAAATAGAATTGCAGCCCACTGGCCATCCAACTTGCTTTCCATTTACCTTCTGCCAGAGCTGAATTAGTGACATTTTTACCATGGTGTATTTTTTCTAGAACTACCTCTTGACTCTGTGACACAGTGAACTTCTCATCCATTCACATTGAAAGGTGGGACACCTGTTGCTCAGGATCATTGACTTACTACTTGAAGGTGGTGGCTCATTCAGAGGTTGCTTCTCTCATATGCAGCCTTTCTTTTTGCCAAGACTTTACTTTGACCTTGTAAAGTGAAAACAGCATTTCCTGGATGCTCTGTTGTATCCATTTGGTTGTACAGAAGGACATTTTTAAAAACTGGTAACAAAATTCCTTGTCTTCGGCTTAGAATGAACTAGACCACCACTTAGTTGAAAAGATAAAGGATGCTCAAGTCTATGTAGGCTACGACACCAGAACACAGAGATAACATTAAAAGTTTCGTGTGCTCTTTGTCTTTGATTCCTAGGATCAAGACCCTCCATGCTCAGATTATTGAGAAGGATGCCATGATCAAAGTACTCCAGCAACGTTCCCGGAAGGAACCAAGTAAGACAGAGCAGTTGTCATCCATGCGGCCAGCAAAGTCTCTGATGTCCATTTCCAATGTTAGCTCAGGCTTGCTCTCCCACTCATCCACCCTGACTGGAGTGCCCATCATGGAAGAGAAGAGAGATGACAAGAGCTGGAAGGGGAGCCTAGGTAATGGCAGCAAAGGGAAGATCATAGTGACACGTTTGAAGTGCTCCACACAAAAAAGAAAGGGGATAGTGGTTCAGATTCTAGAGAGGAAGATGTACTATATTGGGTTTTTCTCCTCCCGAGGGGCTAGCTGCATATCCAGGAGCTCTTCTACTCTGTGAGATCTCATGGTCTCATGGTGAGAACATTGAGGACAAAGCTTGAAAAAAAAAATAAGAATCCTAAGTTCTATTTGGGCAGAAAGAAAGATAAATTTCAAATAAAAATTTCTCAGATTTGGCCTTTGCCATGTGGGACCTTTGTCCAAAGCCCATGTAAGCCTTCATGTTGTTCAAAATTTCAAAATTTCATGGGCCAGAGATTTAGCTCAGTGGTTCCACCACCTACCTTGCAAGCACAAGGTCCAGAGTTCGATCACCAGTACCAAAAAAAAAATCAGAATTCCAGCATTTGTGTTCTTTCCTCCCCTACAATAGGAGGACCCAGAGTTCTCATTAAGTTAAATGGAGTCTAGTGGCAGGGTTTTGCTATGAGAATATTATGATATTAGAACAGAATGTACTCTTTTATTCCATTTTTGTCCATTTTGTCCCCTTTAATCAAAACCTCAAGAAACATTGTAGATATTATGAGGCACATTTTTAGAGCCTGAGAAAGCATGCTATACATATGTGTGTGTATAATTTTATTTTCACTATTTGTTATTTTTAATACTTTTCTTGGTCCTTGTAGTGGCCTCTTGTTAGAATAAACATTTAGGGAAACGATGGTCATGGTCAGAAGGTCTTATTCCACAATTATTAGCATACTTGTGTATCCACAGATTTCTTCCCCCATCCCTGATCCTTTGTTGCTCTCTGGTAATGTTTGGTGTTGGTTAAAGCTGGAAGCACGTAGAAAAATTCTGACAATCCAGTGAAACTCAATCATTGAAAAAATAAATCAAAACAGATACTGAGGACACCTAAGGTTTAATATGTAGTGCTGGGTTTTGAATAATGAGGACCAGAAGGGATCTTCCGAGCTCCAAAGCAACTTTTTTAGCTTGGGAGGTGCCTGATTCCTCGTTCATTGGAGACAAAAATAAAAAATTGAGACCTTTCAAATTTCTCCTAAACTTCGACAAGGGATAAGAGCCAGTCAGATGTCTAGATTGGAATCACCTATTGGTTTCTGCCTTTTACCTCCTTCATTTGTAGGTATTCTCCTGGGCGGAGACTACCGTGTAGAGCCTGTCTCATCCAACCCCTCACCTGTGCCTCCGTCGACTCCCCTGCTCTCAGCGCACTCCAAGACAGGCAGCCGAGACTGTAGCACTCAAACTGAACGTGGAACGGAGCCCAACAAAACTGCAGCTGTTGCTCCCATCTCTGTTCCTGCTCCAGTTGCTGCTGCCGCCAGTGCTGCCACCATCACCATCACTGCTGCCACCAACACTGCCACCACTGCCACCAACACCATCACTATGGTAGCTGCTACTCCAGTTGCTGTTGCTGCTGCTGCTGCTGTTGCTGCTGCCCCATCTCCAGCAATAGCAGCAATTGCTGCTGCTGTTTCTCCAGCTGCTGCTGTTCAGATTCCAGCTGCTGCATCTGCTGCTGTTGCTCCTGCTGCTGCTGCGACTGCTGCTGCTATACAGGTTGCTCCAGCTGCTCTGGCTCCAGTTCCAGCTCCGGCTCCAGTTCCAACAGTGGCTCAGGCTTCTGCTCAGGCTCAGACTCAGGCACTAACTTCAGCTCCGGCTGCAGCTCCTACTCCAGCTCCGACTGCAGCTCCTACTCCAACTTCAGCTGCAACTCCAGCTTTGGCTCAGATTGAGGCTCCTGCAAGTCCAGCTACCAGTGGTTCTGGAACATATCATTTATCTGTACCAAGTTTGACCTGCAATCCAGACAACACAGGTAATAATAGTTCTTTGTAGCAGGCAGCTTTGAGTTCTGCCCTCAGATACAGATTTGTGTACTGAGCTACCATGCCCCATGCCCTGTAATTCCAGCTACTGAAGAGGCTGAGGCCACAGAATTGTAAGTTCAATACCAGCCTGGGCAACTTGGTGAGATCCTGCCTCAAAATAAAAATTAGAAAATAAAAATGGCTGGAGTTGTAGCTCAATGGTAGAGTGTCCTGAGAATCAATCCCCAGTCCCAGAAAAAAAAAAGAAAATTAAAAAAACCAGATTTTTTTGTTTATGCCTACCATTTAGATAGAGTTGTTCATTTGGACTGAGTTACTCATGTTCCAAAGGGATTTTCCAGAAGAATTCATAAATGAATTCTTTTTATTTGCTGAGATGGGAACAGGCACGAGAGGCTGTTCTTACAGTAAAGTGGAGCGGGGGTAGCAAGCAAGTCTCACCTTGCATTGGATTCATGGGGGTTCTAACGTTATATTTGTAGGAAGATGGGTTTTTACTTTGTCCTGAAGTGTGTTTTTTTTTAACCCCTTATTTCCATTTAGATGGTCCTGTTTTGCACTCCAGTACTCTGGAAAGAAAAACTCCTATTCAGATCCTGGGACAAGAGCCTGATGCAGAGATGGTAGAATATCTCATCTAACTGGCCCGATCAAGAGCTACAGTTTATCAGCAAGAATGCTTTTACTCATGTTCCCTTTTCATTTGTTCTTATTTTGAGGGTGAAGACAAGGGTTGGGGGAAGGGGATGTTTTTAAGGGGACTTTTTATTGGAACAATATAATGCTTAATTAATACCACATGAACTCTGATACACATAGGGAATACTTCTAAAAGATAGATTAATCAGAGTGTGCTCTGAAGTTTATTGTTGGGGTTTACACAAATACTGGGACAGTTAACAAGTAGATATACATTGATATTTTCAATGTGCTTAAATTTGTTTCAATTTTTCTATATGAGATCATTTTTATTGAAGAGCACAGTGTGTGTGGAACACAGTGTGTAATATGTAGTGTGGAAGTGGGAAGCCAGAGAGAGTTTGTGTGTGTTCTCTTTGTCTAGTTACTATCTAGATAGCAGCCACAGAAAGCTCTCACCTCGGGCTCATGCAAAGGAATAGTTTTAAGAACTGTATAACCTGGAGGAAAGGTAGGGAGTATTGGGATATGGAAGAGTGCTGGAGCTAATTTTTCCTTCCAATGGCCCAGCTACCCTCACCCCAGTGGACTGCATTTATCTTCATTTCAGTGGTGCTTTGAAAGTGGATTCTTTTGGTTCCCTCCTGGAGGTTCATATATCCATATATGTACTCTGGAGTAATTTATGGATTTGGATAATTAATATATTGCTTTCAGATGCTAGGAGGGTAAATTAACTGAGTGATGCACAACTTCCTCTCTTGTGGAGAGTTAGGCATCAGAGACCTTGATTGAGAGTTGCTTGAGCTGCCACATGCAGATTTCTGTAGTTGGGTGTAGCCATGAGCATACCTCACTTGCCTTTCCTAAGACCAGTTGGCTTAGTGTTTATTTCTTCTAGGACACACATTCACAGGCTGCATCACCAGTCTCCAGTGGCCAATCATTTGCAAAACAAGGAAGCATTTTTGCTGACAGGTTGGATGCTTTGAATTTCTGATGACTATTTTGACTCCTCCGATTTAATTTTCTCCAATTCTTAGCATATGTCTTAAAAGGCATATGACTGTCACCCCCAAGGGAGTAACATCCGAAGTCCAAAGTACTACGCTGCAGTCAGGGGAGTGGTTGATTGCAGCCGGCTCCTCAACTACCTCTTTTCACCACTAGTGATTCCATCTTGGGATCCCTTTGGGAAGCAGTGAGAATATGTATGTGGGTAGGGACCTCGGGAGGCTTCAGCGATAAGACTTGCCATAGGGCTGCCTCCAAGGTGTTCCAGAGGGATGCAAGTTGCCACAGGTCCTTGCCCTGTGTCACCTCTCTGCCCTTCATTAAAGAGACAAATCTACAGATAGTGTCATTAACATTGATTTCCAGGTATTTAAGGAGGGTGAAGGGAGTAGGGTTGTAGATAAGGATGGGGGGTTAGAGGTTTTTGGGATGTGTTAGTTAGAAACCAGATTATAGAAGAGTAGCCTGATAGATTATGTCATGAGCCACAGCAGCAGGAAGGAACTTTAGCAATATAGTCCTATCTCCTAATTTTAGTGATGAGAAATCTGAGACTTGGAGAGGGTCAATAGCTTTCTCAAGATTGCACAGCACATCTGTTTATCCTGCCAATTATCATGCTCTTTTGGGGAATCTTTTATACAAAAAGGAAGAACCTGTTTTAAGAAAAGGCATCTTCATGGTCCAGGTTATCTGCACTTACAGAGTATCCATGGCTTGAATAGTTTGTCCAGGGTTGTGAATTCCTCTTTTCTCTCTATTGCAGTGCCTTGTACAAGGTTTTCCCTTTCCTGATCCCCATTTCCACACTGAGTCATATGAAATATTCACCTAAGAAATCAACTTCACTTTTCTCTCTCTCAGACTGGGTGCCTCAGGTCATCTTACAGGGTTACACTGTCAGTATAGGAATAGTGTATTTACCAGTATTTTTTTTTTTGTAGTTCCGAATTATCTTCCAAAGGAATTATTTAGTGTTGGGGAGGGAGCAAGAAGGAAGGCAGTGCAATTTTCAGCCAGTCTTTTCACATTTTCAATAATAAGGTGATCATCCTACACATTAATCTTCAGTTGTAAAATGAATACCAAGTAGAAACTCAAAGTGCAGTTGTATTAATATTCATTCACACTACCTTTAGTCGTAAGGTAAGCTCAAAAATGAAACAAGATTTCAGGAGTTCTTACTTTTTATCTAAGCAAGTAAATAAAAATAAACCTTTCATGGTGATAACACATTGCTAAAAGTTTTGCTGCCTCTAACAGCCATGATTGTAATCACATTCTGTAGGGTGATACATATACATTCCACACTGTGTGGCAGCCATCTCTTTAGGCTCATTAGTTTTAAGGAAAGGAGGAAGTACTTGCCTAAGTAGTATTTTGAACTTTCCAGAATTTCTCTGGCCTTTCATACCAGAGGCAATCTGTCTCTGCTCAGCTTTCAGCCCTAGGTAATTTGCTAAATTAACACTGTAGATCTAAGAGATGGAAGAAGAGCATGTCAGTGTATCCTGTTGTGGTGAAGCTAGATTCCAACTTTTCAGAAAATCTTTACTAAGTACCATTTCAAAAATTCAGGCTTATGGGGGAAATCTGACGTTAATCACCTTTATGCAACTGTGGATGTAACATTTGGGGGATCTTCTGGAACTTCCACCTATCTATGCATTTTACTGGTACCTCAGGATGGGAGGGTAACCTTGTTGTCTTAACTTGTACTGCCTGGTGGTCTATGGGGACCTTCTAATTCACTTGTACCCCAATGTCCTATATATAGGAAAACTTCATTAGATTGACCTTTACTTGATATAAAACCCTTCTATTAATGTTTTGGAAATAAAAGTAGCTTGAGCTTTATTTTAAAATCATGTATCTTGATTGTTGTCTTAATGAAGGATTTAATTTCAATGCTGCTTTTGAGCTTCAGAGTGATGGGAGAGCAGGAATCTGAAATAGTTGACATCATCTGCCATAGGAAACAGCAAACACATGTCATGTTCTCTTTTTGTTATTACACTGTTGGGTGGGTATAACAATTAGAAAATGAACAAACTGATTGTACAAACTATTTTTAATGAAGAACCTAAATACTGCAGCCGCTTAAAGTGTATACTAACGCACTAATTTCATGTCTGTTAGTCATACAATTATGTGTTATCTCAAATGTCCATTTATATACGGAATATGTTACTTCCCATGTATGTCATTTACTGACAGTGTTTTCAAAGGAAGGCATCAGCTGTGAGCTAATTATCACCAATTTCAGCCCACTAAGATCCTTGGAAATATATCTTCCAAGTACATTCTATCATCAGTAGGGCAAGTGTCAGGAGTTTGTTTATTTTCTTCTGGTAGCAACAATAGGTTACATGGAGCTATCAAACCTCCTTCTGGCTTGTCTTGTGATTAATGGCATGTGTTTGTAAAACAGATAGCTGGGACGGGCAGATGGCTAGAGAAGAATCACCTGTAGTTTAAAATATATATGGTCCCATAATGATTATGATCCCATTCTGTAATCAGCGGAGCTAGTTCCAATAAAGTTAAGCAGGTTTAAATCCATTTTGTGCCTATCTTTTCACTGACAATAAAGTTAGCTATTTTAAAATGCCGTATTGTGTGGAAAGTGCTTTGGTGTTTACCCTACAGGGGCTTTATTTGTGCTATATTGAAGAGTATTTTCAATTTAGTACTTAGTGAAATTGCCTCTCAAGGACAGCATGCTGTAGCATTTCCATTTGCTTAAAGTATGAGCTGTGATTATAGATTATATAGTATTAAGACAACACCACAGGCCACATTCTCTAATTGGCTTCTTTATATGCTCAGGAAGCATATACAAAAAGCTTTGCATCTTTTTATACCCAGGTTCCAGGGCCGGGATTTAACTCAGTGGTTCCGCTGCCTGCCCTGCAAGCACAAGGACCCGAGTTCGATCCTTGGTACCAAAAAAACAAAAACAAAAACAAAATTCTTCTTTGCCTGCCCAGGTTCCAAGGAGTAAAACAATGGCCTCCCAAAGCAGAGAATTCATCCTTTGGTTAGCATTTTGGAAGGCCCCTTGATATTCCTTTTGTGTCCTTGTTCTTATACCAATTCATCAGTTTTGGTTGAGGGAGCATGTCGTATATATGTATATATATATATATTTTTTTTTTGAGGAAGCGTGTTATTAAAAGCAAAGCAAAACTACGAACAAGTTGGCCCTTAACTGAAAATGTTAAGGTTGCCTTTACCTTGTGCTTTGTGTGCCTTCTGTTTACTGTGAGTTCCAAACTGGAGTAGTAAGGAAAAGATTCCCCAGAACTTTGAAATAACACATTTTCTCATTGTAATTGTCTTGATGAGTGTTGCAAAAGGGATGAGGCAGGGGCATATAATACATTCAAATGTAAATTTGATTTTTATTTTGGATCGAACTCTGGTCCTTGCGCTTGCACAGCAGGCAGTGAAACCACTGAGCTAAATCCCCAGCCCAGATTTGATTTTTTTTATACTGGGATTCATTCTCTCCATTTTTATTATGAGTTATTTGAAAACTATATGGATGAAATCTCATTCCTTTTTTGGGGGGACCTGGAAGATGGTATTAAGTGAACCATACATTCTTACAAAGCTTTGCAAAACATTCCTTTCAGAAATATGTTGTGCCTTCTTCTAAATGAGCAGTCACTCATGGGAAGAAAAAGCAAGTGTTCTTTTGAAATGTATGACATCACATTGTAGCAACATTTCTAGATATTATCCAGTATGGTAATAACTTGATTTGGTATCTGCCTCTTACTTTATTTCCCTTCCTGTGGGCGTTCCCTACTGAGATCAGTGATCCACATAAGTTTATGTGAATTACGTAGTCAGGGAAAAAAAGCGCTCCTCCTTCCCACCTCCTCCACCTTCGTCTTCCTGTATAGGAAGGCTTTTATTGAAGGAAAAGAATGTAAATGGTTTGGTCTTAGAACACTTTGTACATTGATATTTAAATGAAGAGCCCTTGGTGACAAACTTTATTTTCCAAGAAGAAAAGCATTCTCTAGGAAACTAAGATTTTATACTACATCACAAATACTCATTCCTCATATGTACGAACAGACCAAGCCCACTGTGTCTATTTTGCTCCCCATAGTTTTTCATTTGCCAGTCACCACTACCACTGGATTTAGGCATGTGTGTTGATGAGTAACTACTTACTGGATGTTGCCATACTGGAAAAAGGCCTAGAACACAATGGTTTAAAAAATACTAGTTTATTAAAGAAAAGTACATACACACATTTACAGTTCATTGTGATATAAGAAATGCCAAAAGTTCGAAAAAGATATAGAACTAGTGCAAAGAGGGATGGTACAGGGCAGTGGAGAGGAACTAACATGAGTTCTGAAGAATGTGTGGATGGTTACCTGGAGTATGAGGTGCTGGAGATGAGCATTTCACGTAGAAGGAATAGATGTGCAAAGGAAATTTCACTTTGTCAGACCTGTAGTCAAATATTGAAGGCCCTAGAGAATTGCTCTGAATTTTAACAACCTCCTAATGGCAATTTACAAACTCAATCAGGTACTAGTGTAGAAGGCACCAGAGCCTGGAGTACTAGTCCTACATCTGGCACTAAGCAGATGTTTACCTGTGGACAGATTCCTTAAACAGGATGTGAGAGGTTTACCAGTAAAGCAAGAATAAATACCTGTCCCTGTGGACCTCATGAAGAGGGGATAAGAGAACATCACAAAGTGAGAATATAAAAAGATGCCAGTCAAACAGTGGGCTGAGAGCTGGGTGTGGTGGCACATGCCTATAATCCCAGCACTTGGGAGGCTGAGGCAGGAGGATCGCCGTGAGTTCGAGGCCACCCTGGGATACATAGTGAGTTCAGAGCCAGCCTGAATTACAAAGCAAGACCCTGTCTCAAAACAAAACAAAGCCAATGGGCTGAGTCCATAAAGAAGTGGTTTATTTAACCTTTTATTATGAAATATTCCAACATATATAAACAGAATAGCTAAGGCACCTTAAGGACCCATTACTGGGCTTGCACAATTGTCAATGCATAGCTAATCCAGCTTCATTTAATGGTCTCCACCCACCTACTTTTGATTATTTTGAAGCATGTCCCGGACATAGCATTTTATCCATACATAGTTCAATATGCATAAATATGAAATTTTTAATATTGAAAAAATGTAGAGTGCTAAATCTGAAACCAGACTACATAACCCAACAAACAAAATGTGATAGCATGTTTGTGCTCTGCCACTTAATGTGCTTCTTTATTTGATCCTCAATATTTGCCTATGGTCTCAGAAAACAGAAGGGTTTGTTCTTTCACAATCCACATATTGAAAGGCAGGATATTTTCTTTAAAGGCTTCCCATTGTAGGTTCCAAGCCATTATTTCTCCACTCATACAATAAGCTCTAGTTCATTTAATGTTTCTGTCATCCAGCTGTTCCTTATTTATCTTCATCTACTAATTTGGACACAATCCCCACAGCATTGATGATTTTGGCCCCTGGGCCACAGTTATGACTCCACTCCGATATGATCCAACTAGTATTCTGGCCTGTCAACTTCTTGGCCTCTCCACCTCCCCTGACCTTCACATCTGCTCTCTTCATCCCACTGTGCTCATGTCCAAGCCAGAGCTGGTCTTCATTCAGCACTGCTCCACTGTGGACATCTCATGTATTTCAGTGCACCACTCACTAGCCAGTCTCCTAAGTTCGCCTACTCTGACTGTATCTACTTGTCAGGTTCCCTGATGCCACCACTTTCCAGGATTTCAGCTCTCACCTGCCTGATCTGGGCTTCATGTTCTATCACCTGAATCCTCAAATCCATTCATAGCCTCTACAACCTTAACCATTTATCACAAGTCAGAAACTCATGAGTCATCCTTGACACGCTCCCCTCCCTCATAACCTATATCCAATCCATTACTGATCATACAAAAATAAATGTCAAAACCAACTAATTTTCTTCCTGTCAACTCTTGTGAACAACCTCTTCTAAGCCATCAGTTTTGACTGTTTGCGTAGCCTATTTACTGATCTCTCATGCCTATTTTTGTTTCACTCTTTTATTTCAGTCTCTACTCAGTGACAGATACAATTCATATAACATCATCCCCTTGGTTAAAATTTTTCAAAAGCTTCCCATTGCAATGTAAATAAAATGAGGCCACAAGAGTTCAAACATCTAACCAAAAACTTTATAATTGATGAATGTGGATCTAGGTCACAAACATTTTAGTCTCATTCCATTAAAATCATTTTCATGCTCTGTTCTAAGTATTTTCTTTTTCTTTTGCTCAAAGGACACAACATGGCACATTATATGATATTTATTACTATAATAGTTATATTCTCTAACAATCTAGAAAAAAGTTTTTAAAAACTATTTTAAAATTTATTTTTTCACATACATAAAGCAAAAATTATGCATATTAATAGGATACCATGTGATATTTAAATATATGTATACATTATATAATGTTGAAATCAGGGTAAACATGTTCCATCTCCTCAATTATCTATAATTTTTCATGGCAAAAACATTTAATATTCTTTCTTCCAGCTTTTTGTGATATAAAGTACATTATTGTTATCTATATTCACCCCACTGTGCAATAGCTCACCAGAGCTTCTAGCTCCTGTTATTATATCTTAGTGCCCACTGATAAACCTCTCCTCATTCCTTCTTCTCTTCCTCTTCCCAGCTTCTAATAACCATCATTCTACTCTCAAATTCTATGAGGTCATGATTTTTAGATTCTACATATGAGTGGGATCAAGAGCAACATTTCTTGAAGTCCTCTCTAAGTCATCTATCTTGGGATCACCTTAGGTATATACTGTATTTAATGCACACTCCCAGGCCTTGGCCCTGGATATGCTTATTCTGTAGTTCTAGAGTAAGACCCAGGAATTTGGACTTCAACAAGTTGTCCAAGAGGTTTTTATTTAGCTCCTCCAGAGACTACATACTAGGAGAAACATTGGCCAGGGATTTCCTGGTATTTATCTTGCTTCCTTTCCCATCTTCAGTTCCCCTAAAACATAATAGAATCTAAAACATAATAGACTTTGAACTGCATATGGTGAAATCAGTAAATCCTGTTTGAGTATTAACTATCATACACACCATTATTTCAGTGGAAAACTGTTTTCTTTTCTTTCTTTCTTTCTTCTTTCATTTGTTTTTCTTAATATGGGGTCTTGCTCTGTAATTCAGGCTAGCTTTAAACTTACTATGTAGCCTAGACTGGCCTCAAACTCTCTGCAGTCCTCCTCCTCCCTCGGCCTCCTGAGTGCTGGGATTACAGGTGTTCACCACTACACCTGGCTACCACTATTTTCTTCATTCATCCTTAGTACATATTGCTGCCTATTCTCATGAGATATGACTATATGGTTGGATTTACTGCTGTGATTAAACAGGGAATTTTGTTGGTCCTTTTGTTATTGCTTTACATGGCTTATCATCTTTGTGGTAACCACAACCACATTTGTGATTTTGAGCAGTTCATTTAGCTCCAGGGACCCTTCTGTAATATGAGGTAACTGGATTATGATCTCTAATGCCGTTTCTGGCTCTTCATGAATCACTCTAT